GCCACTCGGCTCTACGGACTCGTCCGAAGGTGGAGCTGAGAGCGAGTGACCGGTATGCAGAGGAGTGGACTGTGGCGAGGAGTACGTGAAGCTAAAGCGCTGAAGGACCTGCTGCACCATGTGTGACTGAGTCAAGGTAATGGTGCACTGTGCTCTGTCCCGGGTGATCCGCAAGCCAAGATAGCTTGTCAGTTCACCCAGGTCTGTGCACGTGTGTCTCTTCTGCAGCTCCGACTTCACGTGGGCGAGTGCCTCAATGTCAGCAGTAGCGAAGACCAAGTCGTCTACGTACACAAGAACGTAGAACGGCGGCAGAGTGACGTCGGTGCGTAGAAACAGCGACGGGTCAGCAGTGGAAGGAGCAAAACCAAGAGCAGCAAGAGTCGTCCTCAGTGTGTCGTGCCACTTACGAGGTGCCTGGCGGAGACCGTAGACTGGCCGCCGGAGACTCCTCTGGGTACCAGGAGGAAACGACCCAGTGAAGCCAGGTGGACGGCGCAGCCAGATCTCCTCGTGCAGGCTGCCCTGTAGGAAGGCTGTGCTGAAGTCAAGCGAGTGTAGCTTGTAGTCACACTGAGCGGCGACGTGAAGGAGCACCCAAAGAGTAGTCTAGACAACAGTGAGCAGCAAAGTCGACAAGCTCAGCAACTAAGGCAGACGCAGCAGTGGACTCAAAGGAAGGGTCAGTGACAACAGTAGCCAGGAGACGGGTGACAGTAGGACTAGCAGTACGAAGGGAGTCAGATTCCGGGTCAGTAAGTGCAGGAAGAGAGGACGCGGGAGGAGACGGCAGAGGGACACGCTGTGGAGCAGTGGAAGGACGCAGAGTCATAGAGTGAGTGCCGGGGACAGGAGGAGGACGCTGACGCGGAACACGACGACCAGTGCGAACAGCACGAACAGGCGACTCAGGACGAGACTCGGGCGACGCAGGACGAGACTCAGGCGACGCAGGACGAGACTCAGGCTCACGACGCTCTGTAAGTCATCTAGTCGGTCCAGCGTAAGGAGAAGGACCAGGCAGTGGAGAGGCTGGCTGTAACTGTGACTGTGACTGAACAGGCGGTGGACTCAGTAAAGGAGGAGTAGGACCAGTAGAAGGCGGGAGACCAAGAACCTGCTGGAGGAGCGAAACGTAGTACGGCCGCGGCCGTGCAGCGCTTCCAGAAACAGCAGAGACAGCACCAGTACCCATAGCTCCAGGGTCTCCAGCTACAACTCCCGCAGCACCACTAGCTCCAGTACCTCCAACACCTCCAGCTCCAACTCCAGCAGTACCACTAGCCCCAGCAGCTCCAGTACCTCCAGTACGAGCACCTCCGAGACCAGCTACTCCAGCACCTCCAGCAGCCCCAACACCAGGAGGACCTCCAACAGCGCCAGTACCTCGAGCACCAGCACCTCCAGGACCAGCGGCTCCAGCAGCTCCAGCACCATAAGCACCTCCAGCAGCTCCAGCACCAGCAGCACCTCCAGCAGCTCCAGCTCCAGAAGCACCTCTAGCAGCAGGCCCAGTAGCCCCAGCAGCACGGCTACAGCGCCGAGCGTACCACTCACGTAGCCGCCGCGGAGAGAGGGGCTCCCGCCGTGACGGGACACCCGGAGGACCTCCAGACTCAGCACGCTCAGGCTCAGCACCCCCAGACTCAGCACCCCCATGCTCAGCACCCCCAGGCTCCACACGCTCAGGCTCAGCACCCCCAGGCTCCGCACCCTCAGACACAGCAACCCCAGGCTCAGCACCCCCAGTCCCCGCACCCGTAGGCTCAGCACCCCTAGCAGCACCTGAGTCGACAGCTACCTGGACAGGCTCGACAGGGTCTACCTGGGACACACCTGAGGGGGCAGGACCCTGAGGGGGGAGGGGGTCTACCGGAGGAGCACCTGGTGCTAGGAAGAGTGGCGGGGGGGGGAGAGAGGCAGTGCGGTAGGGAAAGAGACGGTAGTAAGATACCGACTCGTCAAACCTGACGTCCTGAGAGGACAGAACACGACGCAAGGTGGGGTGGTAAAACTGCCACCCAGGTGCGTCAGGGGGGAAGCCAAGGAAGACGCAGGGAACGGCACGGGAGGACAGCTTGTCCGCGGAAGCATCGTGGACAAAAGCTCGAGATCCCCAGACACGGAACACAGACGCATCGCCAACCTTCCCCGTCCACCGCAGAGTTGGTGTGGTCTCCGGCAAGGAGACACGAGGCTGAAGGTTGATCTGATGCGCAGCGTACTGAACCGCGAACGGCCACAGAAAATGGGGAGCAGCAGCATGGATCATGGACGTACGAGCGACGTCCATGACCATGCCAATGCGGCGCTCAGCAATCCCATTTTGCTGTGGGGAGGCCGGAAGCGTGAACGTTTGGCGGATGCCCTCCGCACGACAGAAAGCCCTCAGGAGGTCGGAGGAGAACTCACCACCTCTGTCTGAGTGCAGACGCAGAACAGGAAGGTCCGAGCCGAAACTCTCGCTGAGCTAGCGACGAGCACCGCGGATCCAGTCCGTCAACACCTCAGTGACCTCACCCTTGCGGCGCAAGGGAAAGAATGTGGTGTAACGCGAGTAGTCGTCAACGACCAGCAGGAAGCAACGCTCGTGACCCTGTCCACGGATGCGGGCAAGGCCCCACACGTCCATGTGAAGATTCTGCAGGGGATCCTCTGTCGGAGGGAACTCGGAGGAGTGAGGAGCGGCGCGTCGCCGGCCCACGACACAAGGAACACAGGTAGGGGCAGGCCCCGGAGGAAGGAGAGGGAGGGACCGGGGGAGACCAGAGACAAGGGTACGAGAGGCCATACCTCGAAGACGAGGCAGGGAGGGGTGACCAAGGCGGTGGTGCCAAAGGAGAGTCTCGTGTGACAGAGGACGACACGAGCAGGGGGGCGACGCTGGACTAAACCTGGACGCTGCAGAAAACACCTGACCAGACGCGGCTACCTGACCAGACATAGTATCCGGAGGAGACGCAGTAGTCAGTGTGTACAGACTCGAGCCAGGCCGACTGGTGAACGTGGCCAGGTGGCGGCCCATCCGATAGCAAGTGCAGTGGGTCACACGCTGACCTCCAGGGGTGAACTGGTCAACCCACGCGTCCTGGAGGTCAGCTCCACTCACCAAGTTCGTAGAGAACGAGGGGAGGTGGAGTCCCGACAGCAAGCCCGATGGGGCCGCAAGACACGGTAGAGCTGTGGAAGAGTGCGCAAGGACTGGGCCCCCAAAGGGGTCAGCCAGGGAGACTGCGACAGGCCGACTGAGCGGCGTGAGTGTGGTGCTGTCGTGAAAGAAGGAGCGCGAAGCACCAGAGTCAAGTGCGAAAGTGTGCAAGGCCTCAGTAGGTGCAGTTCCAGAGAGAGCAGACTCACCAGCACCTGAATCAGCAGACTCACTAGTACCTGGAGCAGCAGACTCACTAGCACCTAGAGCAGCAGCGTCAATGCCCGGGTCGGGCGGAACACAAAGGTAACAGTCACCCTCAGCACTATCAGTCTCAGCATACATGGCAGCAAGGATATCATCGAAATCAAGATCAAAGATAGCAACGTTCTTCTTAAGCAGATCACCCCAGCGCGGGAGCTCAACAGCGTCAGGAAACTGGGCACGCCAGGCGTCAGTCAGGCGACCAAAGCAGCGCTGCGCAGTGTGTGGCAGCCCGCACGTCTCCCCACGGCGCCCGCCGGTGCGAAGAACGTAAGTGCAGGGACCAACACCCCCAGACCTCCCACACCCAGCGTACCACTCACGCTCCACCGCGACCAGCACCACCGCCGCCGCCACCTCCACCACCACTGCCGCTGCCTCCACCACCGCTGCCGCTGCCTCCACCACCGCTGCCGCTGCCTCCACCACCCCCACCGCCGCCACCAAAACCCCCACTCCCGCCACCACCCCCACCTCCACCGCCACCCCCTCCGCCTCCTCCACTGCCTCCACCGCCGCCCCCACTGCCCCCTCCACCACTCTTGCCCCCCTTGCCCTTGCTGTTGCGGCGCCTCCCACTAGGAGCAGACGCAGCCCCCACCTAAGCAGTGCCAACGAGGTCGACAACAGCAGTAGAAGCAACAGAGGGGAGAAGGGGGACAGGGGAACACCCCTCAAAGAAAGGGGCGCGAGGGTCGCCGCGAGAAGCACCTACAGCTAAGATACTCTTCTCAGCTGCAGTGAGGCGCTCCTCTAGCAGGTCGACAGTGAGCTCGGTGGGGCAAAGGGAGAGAAAGTGGTCCCTGACTGAAGCAAGGGAGTCAGGGAGGCGGGTGACTAGGTAGTACAGGGTGATGTACATGGGGGGGGGGGTTCTTGGCACATAACTCAGTGGGAAGCGCAGCTCGATAGCGGGCGTCACTAGTGCGGAGGTGAGTAATGAGGTCAGCGACTGTGGCAAAAGCGGCAAGGTCAGGGAAAAGGTACGGCAGCATGAGGCGGCTGAGGGCAGCAGTGGAAGGGGAGGAGTAGCGCGCTACTACAGCGTCGTACAAAGACTGAGCAGTCTTGTACTGACCAAAGTGCGTGCGCTCAGCAGACGGCAGGTGACTACGAACAGCAAGGCAAGCAACAGTGTCACGAGTGGTCCACTGCGAGTGAACCGTACTGTCAGCAGTGGCAGCAGGTGCAGTAGAGACACCGGACGTGTGATCGAAAAGGGATACCCCGTCCCTAGAGTCACACTGAAGAAAGAGCTGCAGGTCGTCAACCCACACGTCAAAGTCAACTGCACGCCCCTCAGCATCAAAGGTATGAACAGTAGGGCTAGCCATAGCGGCAGTAGCAGCAGGAGCAGCAGTAGCAGCAGTGGCAGCAGAAGCAGCAGTAGCAGCAGGAGCAGTGCAGACAGGGCAGTGTGGCTCAGTAGGGCGGCGCGGCTCGGTAGGGCAGTGCGGCTCAGTGGGGCGGCGCGGCTCGGCAGAGCGGCGCGTCTCGGTGGGCGGCGCGGCTCGGCTGGGCGGCGCGGCTCGGCTTGGCGGCGCGGCTCAGCTCCTGGCGGCGCAGCGCAGCAGGGCGGCACGGGTGCTTACCAGGGGCGGTTGCAGGGCAGGGCCGCGACAGCAGGGGCCTCGACGGCAGGGGCCGCGACAGCAGGGGCTGCAACGGCAGGGGCTGCGACGGCAGGGGCCGCGACAGCAGCAGGGGCCGCGACGGCAGCAGGGGCCGCGACGGTGGCAGGGGCCGCGACGGCAGTAGGGGCCGCGACGGCAGTAGGGGCCGTGACTGCAGCAGGGGCCGTGACGGCAGCAGGGGCCGCGACGGTAGCAGGGGCCGCGACGGCAGCAGGGGCTGCCACGGCAGCAGGGGCCGCGACGGCAGTAGGGGCCGCGACGGCAGTAGGGGCCGCGACGGCAGCAAGGGCCGCGACGGCAGGAGGGGCCGCGACTGCAGCAGGGGCCGCAACGGCAGGAGGGGCCGCGACGGCAGCAGGGGCCGCGTCGGTAGCAGGGGCCGCGACGGCAGCAGGGGCCGCGACGGCAGTAGGGGCCGCGACGGCAGCAGGGGCCTGAACGGCAGTAGGGGCCTCTACAGCAGGGTCCGTGACGGCAGGGGCCGCGACGACAGGGTGAGGCAGGCGCGAAGCGCGCTTCGGGCAGGGCAGAAAAAAAAAATGATCGTGGTGGGCCCTAAAAAAAACGTTCCCACAAGGGAACCTGCTCAGAATACCATGTCAGAATGTAAAGGAAGGAATGGCTGAACTAGAAAGGAGGTGGGTACAAGTAGGAAACCTAAAAGTGTTGTACCCTATATGAACTACACCACTACAGCCTAAACAGACTATAGCATATAAGTTTGACAATATCCTGCTGTTCAGTGTGGATTTCGGCGCAGAGTGATGCTTCGGAGATTTTCCCGTGAGCTCGAAGAAGTACTCAAGTGGAGTGCCAATTAGGACCGAGTCCAGCGATGATGACTGTGACGAAGGCTTCTTCGGATATTGATCCTCCGCATCGAATGAGTCTGTCACGCAGTCCACGACAACGGCTGATATACGCCATTTCCTTTTCGCCGGGTTTCATTTCCAGTGTTGTCAGCTGTGCCATGAGACGACTTTGGTTAACACTGTCTGTTGCTTGATACAGGTTCTTCAGATGGTCGTACGCCAGCTCGGCGGAGTTGCCGTATCCTCGATAAGACCGAATATTCTGCTGCTCGTTTGGCGTTAATTTTCAAAGAAGTATCGTGTACGCCATCAGCGACTGATATGTATACTGCTGCTTGTCGTATTGTGTCCCATGCGTTGGTTATGGTAGGGACCCGTCGAAGAATCCAAGTATTTGCGTGCCCTCCATCATCAGCTCGAATTCGAATGACCAGGTATAGAAGTCCTTTTCGTCGAAAGGTGTTGATGTCTGCAGTTTTAACACATGTGCAAATTGTGATTGAACTTGATGTGCGTCCAATGTCTTCTCTTGTCCAGGTGAAGACTGTGGGTGTGGCGCGAAGCTGATGGAGCCACGTTGAGGTTCGTACGGAGCAAAGGTGGGTTGCTGCTGATTTCCGTGCGCATAGGATGAACCGTCGAGGCTCATCGGAGTAGCTCTGTTGTTGTTGTCGCTGTTGTTTGATTGCGCAGGAGCTGCTTGCTGGTGTTGCTCGTAGAAGGACATGAAGGATAAGAACTTCTCCATCATGTTTGGGTCGAAGTTTGCTGCTTGATTCCCTGGAGTTTCGGTCGACTCCGCAGCTGGTCTTGTTACTGTGCCTTCCTTTGTCTGTAGGCCAGAGGCTGGAGGTGGAGTAGGAGTAGTGCCGAGGGATCCGTTGGAGGAGCTTCTCTCTTTCTGTGTTGCCATGTCTTGTGTTGTCGTAGGTATTTTGGAAATCGATCTTGCCTTGTTTGCTCTCATACCATGTTGGGCTGAGAAATAGTCCTTAGGATCTTTCAAGGCTAAGATCTCTTTGTTGAAGTAGAGATGTTGTAGTTGCGGAAGCGTAATATCAGAGTTTGCTGAACCACCTTGTACTGGTGTGTGAGAACAAGATAAGTTGATAATAGCAAAGGAATACAAGGCTTTTATATGATTACAAAGGAATATGAAGGATTCTATTTTAACTGTTTTCTGCTGTTGCGATTCGATACAGTGACGACTCGGGTAACTGCTCAATGTCGAGTCAGTTATGTGTCCTTGCTGTCATACTGTATTTTTCGTCAAGTCAAAGGTCAGCGACCTTTGACCTTCGCGTAACCTCCAGCGGTTGCTTCTGTTGACTCGCGTGTTGCTTCGCTTGTAGTCTGCTCCGTTTTGTGTCGATGCTTCGATTACTTCAGAAGCGTTAAGTTATTTGCTTCCAACAGAGGAAAGGGAAAGGGTACACCACCAGCAGTTGGGATCTAATAAATAACCTAGTACACTAGCTAGTTGTAGGCTGTTATAAGGTAATCAAATACAATTCAACAGGCTGATCCCACCATGTGCTGGTGGAAAACTGCTACCCACTCATCAGACTGAGCGTCTCTGCTTCGTGCTGCTGTGCAAGCCATCGGAAGGGATTTGGAGCAATGCACTGTCAAATTATATGCCTATGTCATAATAGAATGTAGGCTTTAGTGGGGTAGCTAATGTAGGGTATAGTTTTTGTTACTTGTACCCAACTTTCTCGATAGTGCACCAACTTTTTCCCTTTACTCTCGACATGGTATTAAGAGCAACATAAGTCCTTAGGACCAGTTTAGGACTGTTTTTCAGGGCCCACCAACCGTTTTCCGCCGGTTACCGAGTTACCCCGCCCCTTGCATACATTGCCCTGCGTCGCGCAGCCCTCGCGCTCGCCTCTGCTGGCCCTCGTACAGCCCGCTAGCAGCCCGCCTGCTGCCTCGTCAGCCCAGCGCGTAGCCCGCTAGCTGCCTTGTCAGGCCCGCGCACCGCCCCGCAGCCCCCGCGCTGCCTTCTCCTGCCCCGCGCGTCGCTTCGCAGCCCTTGCGCTGCTTTCTACGGCCGCCAACGCGGCCTCGCCCTGCCGCGGTCGCGGCCCCACCCTTCCGCCGACGCGGCCCCGCCTGGCCTGCGCGCTGCCCCCCCCATCGCCAGTCGCGGCGCGTGTGGGACCCGCGCGCTGCCCTGCACCAGCTACGCCGCCCCTGGTGCAGCCGCCCCTGGACCCTCGAGCAGCCGCCCCTGGACCCAGAGCAGCCACCCCTGGCCCCTGAAGCAGCCGCCCCTGGACCCTCGAGCAGCCGCCCCTGGACCCAGAGCAGCGGCCCCTGGCCCCTGCAGCAGCCGCCCCTGGAGCAGCCGCCCCTGGACCCCGAGCAGCCGCCCCTGGCCCCTGGTCCAGCCGCCCCTGGACCCAGAGCAGCCGCCCCTGGCCCCTGCAGCAGCCGCCCCTGGACCCCGAGCAGCCGCCCCTGGCCCCTGAAGCAGCCGCCCCTGGTCCAGCCGCCCCTGGCCCCTGAAGCAGCCGTCCCTGGACTCCGTGCAGCCGCCCCTGGATCCCGCGACGCCGCCCCTGGACCCGCGACGCCACCCCTGGACCCCGTGCAGCCGCCCGCCGAGCGCCGGCCCTGCTCGCCCGGCGAGCGCCTGCTCTTCCCGCCACTGGTGAGCACCTGCCTTGTTAGCGCGCTGCAGCGCCATCTGCCTGCCTGCCTGCCTGCCTGCCAGCCTGCTTGCCTGCCTGCCTACCGCGCCTGCTCTGCTAGGCTACTGCTACTGGTACTGGCGGTGGCCAGATGCAGCTCCAGCGACGTCCGCGCGAGTCTCTCACGCCCCAGCAGCTTCGTGAGTGGTACGCTAGTTGGGGTTATGGCGGTAGTCGTCGTAGCTGTCGCCCTGGAGCTGGTCAGTTAGGAGCGTCTGGCAGTGGCCAGCTGCAGCTGCAGCGGCATCCACGCGAGACACTTACGTCCCAGCAGCTTCACGAGTGGTACGCTCAGAGTAGAGGGTCTTTGAGTACCGGTGGCTGCCCGTACGTCATTCGCACAGGTGATCGGACGGGTCAGACTTGCGGGACACTTAGTCACACCCAGTCCCGCTGCTTCGCCCGTCTGAGTGACGCCTGGCGTACCGAGTTTGGCGACGAGGCTGAGCTCCCCGACTGGGTGGAGCTCCTTGGGCAGAGGGTAGATATATTTGCTCTTGACTATGATGCTATTCTCACTGCCATGTATGCATTGCCTACTAGTGCTGACCGTACCTGTTACCTGTGCGTACCCCTTGACCCAGGTATAGAGCCTGCTGCTCCAGGTGCTGGTGAGTCTGCTCTCTTTGGTACTGCGCCTGCTGAGGCCTTGTACACCTTCACACTTGACTCCGGTGCTTCCTGCTCCTTCTTTCGCGACAGCACCACCCTCATGCCGCTCAGCTGGCCGGTTCCAGTCTCCCTGGCAGACCCCTCTGGGGGTCCAGTCCTTGCGCACTCCTCCACGGTCCTGCCGTGTCCGGCGGTCCCGCCTGGCTCCCTGTCAGGTCTTCACCTCCCCTCGTTCTCTACGAACTTGGTGAGTGGTGCTGACCTCCAGGACCAGTGGGTTGACCAGTTCACTAATGGAGGTCAGCGCGTGACCCACTGTACGTGCTCCCAGACGGGCCGGCACCTGGCCACGTTTACCCGTGCGCCTGGCTCGAGTTTGTACACACTAACTACTGTGTCCCCTCAGGTCGCTGCGTCTGCGTCTGCGTCAGGTCAGCTAGCGCCCCCCTGCTCGTGTCGCGCTTTGTCGCACCAGACCCTCCCGCCTTGGTCACCCCTCGGTGCAGCGCCTTCGTAGCATGCACCGCCGTGTCCTTGTCTCTGGTCTTCCCAGGGTTCTCCCTCCCCTCCCACCCTCGCCTGCTCCTCCCTGTCTTCCCTGTGTCGAGGGGCGGCAGCGCGCCGCTCCTCACTCCTCCTCGTTCCCTCCCACAGAGGCTCCCCTGCAGACTCTCCACCTGGACGTGTGGGGCCAGCCCGCGTCCGTGGACAGGGCCACGAGCGGTACTTCCTGCTGGTCGTCGACGACTACACGCGTTACACCACGGTCTTCCCCTTGCGCACCAAGGGTGAGGTCCCTGATGTTTTGATCCCTTGGATCCGCGCTGCTCGTCTCCAGCTCCGCGAGCGGTTCGGGACGGAGTTTCCCGTCCTGCGTCTGCACTCTGACAGAGGTGGGGAGTTTTCCTCCGACCTCTTGGCAGCCTTCTGTGCGGAGCACGGCATGCGCCAGACATTCACGCTTCCGGCCTCTCCGCAGCAGAATGGGGTTGCTGAGCGTCGCATTGGCTTAGTCATGGAGGTCGCTCGTACCTCCATGATCCATGCGGCTGCCCCCCATTTTCTGTGGCCGTTTGCGGTCTGGTACGCCGTGCATCAGCTCAACCTCTGGCCCCGTGTCTCCTTGCCGGAGACCTCGCCCACACTGCTGTGGACCGGGAAGGTTGGCGATGCGTCACGTTTCCGGGTCTGGGGTGCTCGTGCCTTTGTCCGCGATACCACCGCGGACAAGCTCTCCGCCCGCACTGTTCCCTGTGTTTTCCTTGGCTTTGTCCCTGACGCGCCTGGTTGGCAGTTTTACCACCCCACCTCGCGCCGTGTCTTCCCCTCTCAGGATGTCACGTTCGACGAGTCGGTTCCCTTTTACCGTCTCTTCCCCTACCGCACTGCCCCTCTCCCCCCCCCGCCGCTCTTCCTCGCTCCAGGTGCTCAGTAGACCCCCTCCCCGCTCCCGGTCCTGCTCGTTCAGGTGTGTC